TTATATATTTGACTATTATCATCAATTTGGACAAAAACAACAATTTTCGCTGACAAACGAAAATTTTTTTGAAAAACATTTTATACATCTGATTATATTTCATTAAAAAACATGGTGCAATGATGGAAATTTAAATCTAAGTCAATAGTTATAGACTGCTATCTGGAGGATGATATGGAATGGTTAGAGTATATGTTAGTATGTAAGACGTAAATTGCATTATAAATTGATAAAAGCTCTGTAGAGTCGAAACGTTTTTATTATACAGTCCTTATTTTAAATATATTTTAATCTAAAATTTGAATATGCTCGTTACTGATTTATTATACATATATTGTTTTGCTGTGCAAACTGTCGAGCGATATATTTTATTTATTATTAAATTTCTTTCAATATAGTCTTTATTAATAATAATAATCTATATTTAAAAACTTATAAATTCTGAATATAGTAGCAAGTTCATTATAATCTTACGCTTCTCTAAAATTATATTATATATCTTCTCTGAAATTATATCTTCAAGGCAACAACTTATTCAATGTCTAAAACAAAATTCTGTACTTTTAAGTATTATTTCTATTATTTAATTCTGTTACAAGCTTTCAAAAAATTCTTTATATTCTTTAATAACAATCTACGAATGTTTATACCTTTACACAACCCACCCCAATGACTTCTGACCAATCTTGATGTTGCGCTTAAAGATGTAAACGACGGAAAAATAACAGAATATTAAAGTGAAAAACTCGAAAATTAATGGTTTTTTTTTCTTCGGCTTTGACAGTTTTTTACTCGGATATTTTTTGGGTCATTTAGATCTGTCACATTGCTTGAAATCCCCCAAAATTTTTGCATTAAAGTGATATGATTAGAAAAATAGATTCGGGCGTTGAAAAAAGAAAGCACAGATGCTGAATGCAAAGAATGCAAGCAACGTAAACAAACCTATTAACTTATTATCAACTCATCAAGAATTGCAATAACCAGTAATACATATTTCTGCTTCAATATAAAATTATAAAGACAAAAGTATTAAAAAGTATCGAAATAACAAGAAAAATGAATTCTATTTCTTCTTTTACATATTTAACATGAATTCTATTTTTTATAAATTTTATGTGATTTGGTCAAAAATACCGTTTTTAAAAAAACTAATTTTTTTACTTGATACTTTTCTCCGAAGTCATAAATACCGTTTTTTTTTTACATTTCTAGTTGAGCTTGATCTTCAAAGAGATCAAAGTTATTGATCTTTTACGACGCTCATTGTTCATTAAGAAATTATTAACAAAACAGTTTTTATGTATATATTGTATTTATGAATTGTACACAATTTTTGAATACAAAGTGTATATATTTCAGTATATTTTTTTAATAATTTATTGCCAGTATAGCTTTTCAGATCTTCCGACATTACAAATGTATATAAGGGAAAGTCACCAATACTGATATATCACTTTGTTTTTAGATAATATTTCTTAAACAAAAAATAAAAATAAAACTTTAAAAACATAAATACAAATTAAAGAGTGTCTTCTATCAGATAGTATAAACTGTTTTTATAATACTGTTTGCAATTTTGCAATAATTAATTTTTTTTAAGATAAGCAAAAATGAGCGTTTGACAAAATGGGCTCCAAAACTGATATAGTTGGCAATAATGCTACGTATTTCTGTTTTTTTTTCCTTTTACAGGAATTATCTGTATAAAGTAAGTACAAGTGAATGTATATAAGATTTTCCAGAATCTTTCATTATAAAACATTTTTATTGCATTAGAATTATATGCATATTTACTTTATGCTGTTCTGCAAAATGCCAAGAGCTATTTGACACTATAAAGCAACGTTATAAAGTTAGTTAGCTTATGGTCTGTTTTACAGACAGGTGTGATGGTTTACGCTGCATCCCAATTTTTAATTTAAAATTGTATTATGAAAAAACTATGAGAAAAAAATAATATAAATAAAACTGATTTAGGAAACTGTATTTAAATCAACATAATATTATCAATAATATAGTCACTATTATTTAAACTACGCAATTTGCAAAAGAAAATCGTAAGAATTTTATTTTCGCATTCGTAAAAATCGTTTTTAGCTAGTATAGAAGCAAACCACAAATATACGAATTATGAAAAGGGATATACCGTAAAATTACCGAATATCGGATATCCGGTATCCGATTGGATATCAGAGAAAGCAATTTCTTTGAGTTGGATATCCGACCAGATTCCGAGAAAGTGTTTTCTAAAAAAAAAAAGCCTAGAAAAAGATTGTATTTTGCAACAATGTATAAGACATAGCATCATGAATATGCACACTTGTTTCTAGAACATTTGTATAAGAAAAAATCAACAATTTAATGACATCAAATTTCAATCATACATAGTCGGATACATAGTCGGATACATAGTCGGATACTAATGATATTCGGTCGGATAGTAAAAAATGCCGGATAATATCAGATATTTTCCGGATATCCTGTGCATCCCTAATTATGAATTTGTACTTCTTTAATTAGCTAAATAGATTATGATTTTATTAAGATTATTAAAGTGCAATAATTAGTTTATGAGAAATAAGGGGATGTCACTTTAACAGATCTATGTCAGTATTGGCGAATTTTCTCTATATAGCCCTTAAAAAGGCCGATTTTAGTCTAAATATAATTAATATGTTATACACGCGTATGTGATATATGTATTCTAAATCTTCGCTTAAAAACACAAATTCTCTGCTTTAAAAATACAAATTTCTATTTTAAAACACACATTCTCTGCTTTAAAAACACAAATTGTTTTGTTATATAATTTTTATGTTTTTAAAACAAACAATTTGTGTTTTTAAAGTACAGAATTTATAGCAGAGTATTTGTGTTTTAAAACAGAATTTGTATTTTAAAGTAGAGAATTAATATTTTTAAAGCAGAGTTTGAGTTTTTAAGCGAAAATTTAATACATAAAATACATACGTATGTACTATACTAGTCTTATTTTAAGACTAAATCGGCCTTTTTAAGAACCGTATACAATCCCTAATAACACAAAAATGTCCTCAGGATAATCCTGAATATCTTAGGACATATACGAGGGCAAATCAATAAGTTTTTAGAAAAACATAGTAAAACATATTTTTTTTTAATCGATTCATTTTTATTTCTCATAGTCTCCTTTCAGCTCGATATACTTGATCCAACGATTCTCCAACTTTTTCAAATCCGAATAATATGATTTGTCCAACTCTTCAAAATAAGCCCCTGGTTTGGCTATAAGCTGCTCTCTGATGGTGAATCTCTTTCCTCTGAACCATTTCTTCAGGTTTGGAAACAGGAAATAGTCGCAGGGAGTTAAATCTGGTGAATATGCTGGATGGGAAAACAATTCGTAGCGGAATTCGTTGAATTTGGCCATCGGTGCCAGGCACATGAACTCGTGCATGACATTGTCTTAATGAAAGAACAAAATGGGGACGTTTCTTCTTCGCCAAATGGGAACGTTTTTTCTTTATAATGTTGTTGAAACGGTCCAATAAGGCTATGTAGTAATCGCCATTGATCGCTTGCTTCGACGGAAGGTAATCGATATGAATTATACCGCGTGCATCTCAAAAAACTATGACCATCACCTTCCTGACCGACTTCACGGTTTTCGCCTTCTTCGAAGCTGGTTCACTCGGTGAAGTCCATTGTTTTGACTATTCCTTCGTCTCGAGTGTGAAATAATGGATCCATATTTCGTCCACAGTAATGAACTGACGCAGAAATTCATCTAAATTACGTTGAAACATCTCCAAACATTGTTTTGAAATCGTCACACGGTCGCGCTTATGGTTTACAGTGAGCAACCCATTTTGCCAATAGCTTTTTCATATCCAATTGTTTGTGCAAAATTGAAATCACTGCCATGTGATATGCCTGTGGCCTCAACAAGTTCGCGCACTTTCATTCGTCGATCAGTCAAAACAATATCGTGAACTTTATCGATGATTTCTGGCATAGCAGCCTCAATTGGACGTCCCGAACGAGATGCATCATATGTGAATGTATGAACCACGTTTAAATTCATTCACCCAATTGTATACAGTCGCAAACGCTGGTGCAAATATGTTATGAACATTATCCAACTTGGCTTTGATTTCGGCGTTAAATCTTTCATATTTAGATGTTTGATCACTGCACGAAACTCGCATTTTTTCCATTTTGCAAAAAATAAGGTTGTTCGCTTTAATCGTCTACAGAAATAAAACAACGCGATGAATTCCGCTCAAAATTTGACAGTAATCAGCTAAAAGATGCTACTTATCAAAAAGTAATGTGACATGACACTGCGGGTGCCTTCTGACAGATTTTCTAAGACTTATTGACTTGCCCTCGTATAAGATATGTTTAGAACATTATATTAAGATGAAAATTTTAGAATATCCTTAGCCCTAATAAATAAGCGTTCAAAAATGTCCTAAACATCTTTATAATATGTCTTAAACACTTCCTGAGGATGTCTTGTGGACTATCAAATGAGCGCCTCATTATGTTCTACATACAGCAGGACATAAAAATAAGAAGTCCTAAAAATGTTCATCTGTAATCCATGGAATCTACTTTCGAATTTTTCTAATATTCTAGATCTGTCGCTAGATAATGCGCTTCTCGCATTTAAAATTTAGTCACGATCTCTATAGTGTAATATATCTAAGCTTAGACATATCATAATTATTCGTATTAAATTTTCGTATGTGCTTAGTGCAAGATTGTATCTTTTTGTTTTTTTTTTCAAATTAATGAATATAATAATATTTTGTAAAATATTTCATTCTTGCAAATTTAGTATACTTTATCCGAGAGATCCTGTGATTATCCTTAGAAAGATGTCTTTGGAACATTTCTTAGAAACTTGTGCTGTATGCGAAATATAATAGAATTGTGCCAAGGATTACGGATAGACTTCTTTAAGACTTCGGATTAGGATGTCCTATGGATGTATGTAGTACATAATAAGGCGTTCATTTCATACTCCACAGGACATTCTCAGGATGTATTTGGATTACAACAGGATGTTTTATGAACGTCCCATTTAGCTGGCAGGACGTCCACAGGACATCTTTGTGCTATTAAGGATATACAGGGTGTTTCTGAAGTAACGTTCACTAATCATATAGTGCTATTTCTAATAAAAAAACTGAATCGAAAAGTCCTACTATTTTGCAATTTTTGTAATATTTTTTTTAAGATATCTGTAAGAGTTCTTTAAGAAATATCTTCAAAATATTCACAAAGAACACTGAAAAATATCTTAAAATTGTCTTATACATCGCATGCGCATTTTATCCGTTTATTCGGCAACCTTAAGAAATTAATATCTCATTAACTATTGCAAAAATTGCAAAATGATACAAAACTTTTCGATTTAATTTTTTATTAGAAATAATATTATATGATTAGTGGGCGTTATTTCAGAAATACCCTGTATATTTGTAATGTCGGAAGATTTGAAAAGCTATACTGGAAATAAATGGTTAAAAAAAAATAGTATATGCACTTTGTATTAAAAAATTGCGAACAATTTATAAAAATTGTTTTGTTAATAACTTTTTTAATAAACAATGAGCGCAGCAAAAGATCAATGATTTTAATCTGTTTGAAGGTCAAGATCAATATCGAGGTCGAAAGTCATTTGTGGCGTGTTGTGTAAAAGTAAAATTTTATCCAATATTATATTATGTAATATAAGGAAAAAGCAAAGGAGTAGTTTAGGATAAAAGGAAATGTGAGCAATGAGAGATTCAATCATTCTTAAAAAATTTCACATCTATTTAATTTGATGACAGCGATTATAACAAATGCATTTTAAAAATAAAATTATGTTATATATGCATAATTAAAAGAGAAATGTCACGCAATACAAGAAATGACGTATTATTCATCGAAAGTGCATACGCGATGAATAATACATCCAATGTTGACAATGAAAAGGGATTGATTTTAAACATAGAAATATAGTGTCGATCTTATGGATCTTACAGATAGAAAGGCACGTCTTTTTCTTTGGATAAAGCGAAGTTTAATATTTTTCTTACGCAAATAATAAAGCGTCAATAATTTTGATGTCTCGGCATGCTTCTGCATGATCTTGGTCTCATAATTTGTCTTTTGTAATCTCCAATCGTTCCACATATGCTCAAATAAATCCCTAAGCTAAAAATAAATTAAATAATAGCCTATAAATAGTTAAAATAAATTATGACTTGTAAAATAATAATAGCAAGACATTTGAAAAGATAATGATTAAAAACAATTATATTTATTAACCATTAAACAAATTATAATATGGTTTAAATAATGAAAATAAAAGAAATTATTAATCAGTATGTTTATGTAATAATCAGACTTAAAAGAAATTATAAATAATATATAATTTTCATTTTATCACAAATATTTTGTTATGTACATAAAATGTTTATTATATAACTATTTATAGCTATGATAAAAATAATGACATTAATTAGAATTAGGCTAACTGCAATTCTGACATTCTATATATAGAACACACATACGAAAAATTTGTAAAAGCGACTTTTTATGTAAATTTTTTATAAATTAAATTTTTATAATAAACATTTAACACATTCTGTCCAAATTTGCACAAAATTTATTAGGCTTATAAGTAACGACCAATTAAGCTTACTTTGTCTACATATCCAACACGTGCATACATTTGACTCAGACTACCCATTACAGGCATAAATGCTGGTATCATATCGATTACGAAGTTCGCGGTGATGTTAGACTTAAATAAACTCATTAGCTGAAACATGTTATTAATCCTTAATAAAAACAAAAGATAATTCACAGAAAAAATTACATCTTTAATTGACATCTTAAAGTTGAAGTATGAATTATACAAGAGAGGTTTTAAAATTTCAATTGTATATAGAAAGTTTTTATATAGAAAGATACATATAAAAAAATATGCATAACAACTTTGAGAAACAAAATTTCAAAATGTATTTAAAATAGCTTATTTATAGAATAACTTTTTTATAGAATAGCTTTTTTATAGAATAGCTTTTGAATAAATAACTTTGGTTGTATACAGTTACTGTAATAAAGTTTATATATATATATATATACGTACTAATATATGTATATATTCAATAAATTATGATATATTTCTTCAATCAGATTTTAATAAATATTTTAAATTATTTAATTGAAAAGAAAATTATTTTCTATGCTACGGTTATACCTGAAAAATTACAGATGACAGTAATATAGTAGTGATAACAGCTCTTACTAAACAAGTGCTCCATTTGCTTTGATATGGCCATAACCCAGTAAGCAACAGTACAAATCGATTTAGTTTGTAATAACGCTCTTCAGGATGTTCCATTTGCTTCGAAAGTTTTAAACAAACTGACCGTAGAAGCAAGAGTTCGTCGATTATTATTTTATTGCTATAATCATCTTAACTTTTTTTAAAGATCTATTCAATTCTGCATCTCTAATTTTTTAATTTTATTATTGGTGAATTACATCAAAGAAAAATACGCGTTTAGCGCGAAAACACGAATTTTTCAGAAGCGTCGAGGGAATCGATCGACAGCGCGAGTATAATGTTCGGATAATAACGTGGGAAATGACTGGTGATCTGTGAACAAACATTGTCTTTAGGCAATTTTACATCTGCCGTATTAGTTTCTCTAACACGTGCGATTATTTTGCTGCAGCGATATCGCAATTGTTTTTTGATTATTTACAAGGAAAGGAAGTAAAAGATGAGTGAAAAAAGCCCGAGGTAAAACACTACATTTGAATCGTACAGTATATAACGAAAGACGATCAAACCATCAGTATTATATCGGAAACAATTTTTCACCGAAGACTTTCTTGAAAATACTTTATTTACAAGTATTTCGTAAGAAGAATTATTATTTGGGCAATGTTATAGGTAGATATACAGAAATAGATAGATATTTACTATTATTAATAATATTATATAGATATTTATCTTTAGATAAGATATATGAAATAGAATTTTTTCTGTATAAAATAAATTAAAAATTTGTATCATTGAATATCTTACGAAAATAAGAGTCATTAAAGAAATTGTAACGTTTTAAATACTTCTACAAATATCCTGATATTCTTCTAAAAAGAATTTACATATATCTATGAATTGCTAGACTTTATTTATATTATTTACTCTGCATATTTACTCACCTGTAAATCTTATCAACACCTTCTTGTTTTTAAGGAGAATTTTCGATATGATTGTAAAAGAAATCAGTACACCTCTAATATTCCCGTAACTTTTCTACATTACTTCTAGACATATAACTTGATAGAAACATTTTTAAATTTGTCTGATGAACATGCAATAGGAAATCGTTGTTTGAAGTATCTTCGAAATATATATATTTATTATTCATTGTTATTATGATTCCGAATACAGTACTCTTTTCTTACCATTCCAAAATTCTGCAAAGACATCACGTAAAATTTACAGGCAGTCAAGATGAGTGGCTGATAGCGTCGCATCATTATTATTAACAATGTCTTTTGCTCTGAAACAACTGCGTTGTACCACATAGAGTTGAATCTGCGAAACCAATTTTTTTTAGATATCATCTATCCTGAGCAGATAGAGCGGACTAAACTGAATCGAAAAGTTCCGTATTCCATTTTGTAATTTTCGCAATAATTAACGAGATATTAATTACTGAAAATCGCTAAATATGTATAATTTTTCAATAATTTTTTACTTAAATACTATCAATTTTACAAAAAAACAGCAAGTGATAAAAATTGTTTATTTTCTTCTTATAAAGTTCTGAGAATTTTTTTAGAATTTTTCCGTATTTTACCGTATTTTCTCATGATGGTAAAAATAAGAAAATGCAGTACTAAAAAGTTGATAAAAAATTCTGAAAAAATTTTTGAAATTCTATGAAATGAAATTTAATGATTTTTGTCTCTTGCAATTTTTCTGTAAAGTTGTTAGTGTTTGAGTAAAAAATTATTGAAAACCAATATTTAGCGATTTTTAGTAATTAATATCTCGTTAACTATTGCGAAACTCGCAAAATAATAGAGGACTTTTTTTCGACTCAGTTTAGTTCGCTTTGCTTGCTCAGGATAAGTGATGCCGAAAGGATTCCACACGTTTCTTATGGATTTTGATTCTCGGTCAAACCTTCTCATATTTTGGGAAATTATAGTTTCAGGTACCCTGATTAAAAGTGTCAATAGGCGCGATCTCCTAAAAAGACATACGATCCCGAGTATCCTTTAAGGAATTTAATAAATAAGTAAATATTATTATTATGGCAAATTATATTAAAAATTTTTATTAATATTAATATTTTTTTCCTTTTCAAAATTATAATTTAAAAAAAAATTATATTATGCTTGTTATATTTTATTTATAATATTGCAAACTTGCAATTTGCGTAACACAAAAATATAATATCTCAGCAAATGCGTTTATATACAATTATCTCACATATATTTTCAAATAAATTCAAAATACTGAATAAATAAATTCAGAAAGAACCTTTTTTTTCTGTTTTTTAATAATTTTATTTTAATTTCTCTTCTTTTGTCTTGAATAAACAATAGATTTTCAATATCAGCATTTTAGATATTATCGCGCGAGATGTACTTTTAAATATATATTAAACAGAAATCTACTTATATTTACATTTTCCCACACAGATTCGAACTCATATCCGTGATTCTCTGTCCCATGTAAGAAGATATGAATACATAATATAGTATACCACAAAAGACACCAATAGATCTGATAGCTCGTTCCATATCGGAAATGGTTATTATCTGAAAGACTTCGTTTTAATAATTCGATAATACTTGCAAACGCTTAACATATTTCTGCTAGCATACCTGGATTAACGTAAGACTCATCAAAATCATTAAGTTTATGAGATCTATTAGAAACGGTACTGTGTGACAAGTTTCGATTATCTCAACGAACCTTATAACGCGAAAAAAATCAAACATATTAAAATAATAAGGTGAAGAATATTTTTTTGCTTGTAAATAAATTAGTACGCGTATGTTATTAACATACATTTACTATTGAAAATTCGACTCAATTTCGTAATTAGAATATTATTTTCACCAATAGAAAAAAAATAATAAAATTTATTTTGTGATTATAATTAATCTAAATGGAGTCGCGACAAGAGAAATATCTTACAGTCAATATTACAATCAATTCATGTAAATGTAAATTTATTTGTATATATTTGTATTGTATGATTTAATGCTAATGCTGAAAAGATATTCACCAAATTTGAATAAATATTTGTTTAAATAGTATACCAATGGTATCATTTATTTACAGTAAATAAATATTTGTTCAATTAAAAAAATTATACTTAATTTAAGTATCATTTTTTAAAATCAAATAAATGTTGTTTTTATTTTCTATAAGCAAATGGTCCCATTGGCACTGTCTAAACAAATATTATTTAAATTTCATAAATTTTTTTTGGTAATTGTACCAAGAAATTATACCAGAATAAGACCTTTTCGAATTTCGACATTTTTCGGCTGCTATGTTGATAATAATCTTTGTTATGACTCAAATATAATAATAAGTCATGAGAGGTCAAAAATAAAAAAATTTTCTTTGAAAACGTTACATATAGTAGCGCATGCATGACGCGAAGTCACTTTGCACAGAAATCGTGCGTCCCCGAGCAGGGGAGAAAAGTGGGAGGAGAGAGGGGGAAGGTGAGATGGGAATCGCTTCGGGTGAAAATCGTGCGCCCCCAAGCAGAGGGGGATATGGGGTGGAAGTCGGTTCGCATGGAAAATCGTGCGCCCTTAGTGGTAAAGTGGGTAAACTATATATTTTTCGATCTCCTCAACTTATTATCACTATTTGAGTCATAGCAATTCTTTTCAGTGTAATAGATTCTTTGTTAGTTAAAATCATATAAAGTAACATGAAAAAGGCATTATCTAATGGCCATTGTTACTTTTCAATTTTCCTTGTAAAATATAACATTTTGTTTTATTACATTGCTAAGAAAAATGAAATTACGCTGGAATTAGATATAGCATATATTAAATAAAAGTACAAACTGTATAATGTTGTAATGCTGCTGTACAAAAACAGATATATTTCCGCAAGTTATTTCTGACACCTGAATTAAATCGTATCTTGCCTCGTCTTTGACAACACAAAATAAGCGTTCCGCACGGTGCCTGTCAAAATGATTGTCAACATATTATTGTATAATGTATAATTGACTTTGTTCGTATCGATATTCTTGCATTGAGCTGAAGAAAAGACGAAACGACTGTTTATCATTCGTGAAAATGTAGAAGAAAAATAGTAAACAATTTTAAAAACGCGATAAGAAAATTATTTTTAAACTAATTGAAAATGGTGGTATTTAGATAAAGTTATTTTTTCTACACAGAAATGATTTTAAAAAATAGATATTTTCTACACAGAAATATCTAAAAATTTAATTAGATATAGATCTAAAAATTATTTTATTGAAGTATCAAAATATTTGTGTAGAAAATTCATGATGTGCAATAATGCTACAAAAAATTTTAATATTCTTAGTAATTAGGTTGAGCATCTTATATAATTATTTTTATAGTCCAACAAAATTTATTTTTAAATTTGTATCTAGTTACATTTTTATATACTTCAGCAAACTGTTTTTTCCGTTATAAATAAAGTGTATTTATTACACAAATTCGAGAATTAATAAACCAGTCGAAAACTGATGGACACTTCATTTTCTAGCAATCTTAGAATCATCTGTTCTTTCGCAAATAGTAAATTGCGCGAAGAGTAATTTCTTACCCCAGCAACTCGCACATTCCGCAAGTGTGTTGCGTGAGAGTCAGAAATAGAGTGGAACTGGCAACATAAACTATAGGTATGATTATAATTACAAGACATATGTGAAAACGAATGAAATAAAAGTACTGCTCTTCATCAACAAAGAATTCAGCATTAAAGGGTTGCCTCCGCGGGCGAGATTCATTCATAGGTGATATAATATCAAGAATTTCTGGTATAAACATCCATATGTTGTATCCCACAATGTTTATATATATCATGACTGAAAAATTAGATAATCATAAATTTATTAATATATAATTCAATGACAAGAATGTACGCGAAGAAAAGACTACACTGTTAAAAATATCATGAAATTTAATATACCTTTAAGTTACACAAGTTGAATTTAATTTCATAACGTTATATTAAATTTAATTACATTACATTACATTAAATTTAATGTATTTGTAATTGTATATTTGTGTACATGTACATGAAAGTATTTTTATATAAAATTTTATGTGGATTTGCATGAAACTTAATGTATATTTAAGTCTACT